GATCGCTGCACAAGACCAGAGAAAAGCTTTAAAGTCTAAAGTATTATCAACACTGTGACGAAGCCGAGCTAAATAATCATCTGCAACAGTATTATTAAAAATAAAACGTGTGATTAGCGTTATTATCAGCAGCAGCACAGCTGACTGTTTAACAGACAAAACGTCGGACTAATATAATGAGTTCATTTTGTTTTAGTTTCATGTAAAACAAACTTTTAGGCTAAAAAGCTGCAACAGCAAGATGTATTATTACAATTACACAGAAACTACTGTTATTCTTTTTATTTTTTCATTTAATTAAACAAAACGATAAACTTTGGTTACACAAATAAAATCAGTTAAAACTTGAGGATTCAGTGTAAAATTCAATACATAAGAAAAAAGGAGAGTAAAAGAGTTGGTTTGTTTTGTGTAAAGTTTTATGAGACATCTGAGACCAAAAGGCATTATGAGAATTTTTTTAAAAAAAGAAACAAAAACCACAATAAACTAAAAGTTACACAAAAAAAAGGTTTGTAGGCTCAATCACCCAGGCAGATAACAAAAGAAGGCTCAATAATTTCATGTGGACAAGTTACACCGTGATCATTCTGCACCAACTGGAGCAGACGGACTGGTCTGACTTGAACTCCAGTGAAACAAATTATTTCACGTGAAAATCGGTCGCCGTTCTTTAAAAAAAAAAAAAAAAAACAGCTGAAAAGTAGCTAGGTAGAAAGAAGCTGAAATTACAATAAGGAAGTGGAGAGAGCACATTGTTGCAGAATTAGGCTGAAAAATGTTTAAATTAGTGCAAAAACTGTGGAATTAGCTGAAAAAGCTTAAATTAGCATAAAACAGCTACACAGTAGCTGAAATTGTAGAAAAAGCTGAAACTAGCTGAAAGGAGCATAACAAGCTGAAATTAGAAGAGGCACAAAAATGTTGTAGTTAGCAGAAAGAATCTGAAACAAGCACAAAACAGCTGAAAAAAAACAGCTGAACTTAGCTGATGTTTTAAAAATTTGCACAACGGAGCTAAAAGAAGCTGAAGCAGAACAAAATGTGAACGGAGCAGTAAAAGGTTGTAAACACATCTAAAGATGTGAAGGATAAAAAACGAGCTCAATTCATTTTCTATGAGGAAAAAAATGGCAGAAAAGGCTAAATATTTCAAACAGCTAAAGTTGCACCAATACCAAAAGTCGTAGCAGGATTGTCCTGAAAGAGCCGAACGTTTTGATTCACGACTTGTTGAAATAGATTGAAAAGTGCGGGACGAGAATCAGGCGGAAAAACGTACGGAAGAAAAATGGATCACAGACTGAACGCTTCGTGAACATTTGAGGATTTTAATCAGAAACAAAACAAAACAAAAACAAAACAAAAAACAAAAAGAGAAAAAAACAAAAACAAAAACAAAACAAACGTCTGTTTCTGTTCAAGCCTCCAAGAAGAGCTGCTCTTTTCCAACCTCCACGTTCTACATCACCCTTCTTTTCCAGTTCCGCTTCTGTTTCAGTCTCGAGACGCGAGCGCCGCAACACGTGCACGGCTTGTGTGTATAAAGCGTGCACGCGGGGAACGTGCACTGCAGCGGCCGGCTCAGAGCCCAGGGGGAGATTTATGACGTGTTGGGACGGCTTGCTCTCTGCCCCGTGACGGGAGAGCCGCCCCACCTCCTCGCCTGACACTCCACAACCGGCTCCTACTTTAAGGCGCACGAGCACTTACAGACGCGCACTTAGCCGTGTACACACGTGCACGTTAACCCCTGACCCAGAGCGTGTGAGCCACATGTTTGCAGCTCTCCAACGGCCTGGGGCTGAACACGCCTTCTAAAATGACCCGTTCATCTCGTTCCATTACCTCCAACTGGTTTCCTACTAACTCACCTCCGTCAGACGACTCCTGACCAACGTGCACTCTGATGCAGTGAGGGGGGGCTGCAACAATGAAAAGGACCCTCTGGAGGACCCTTTAAAAGGTCACCGCTGCAGCCAGTGACAAGAGAAAATATTTTATAGCTTTTATAAAGGCCATCTATCAAAATAACGTTTGTCCATGTTTCTACTGACTGCAACTGGAAGTGGTTTCGGTTGCATTTTATTTTGAAGTCGATGGATTAAATCAGAGTGGATCTGCTGTACATGGTCAGAACAGTCCTACTTTAAATGCATATATCCATTTGTTGTTGGGTTTACCAGTTGGGAGGAGAAATAAATAAATTCAGATGTTTATTCGATGGGATTTGAGACAAGTCTGACATGTAGATGCAAGAGTTGTTCAAATAACGGGTTTCTCACGGAGCTGCGACTGTTGGTGACTCAAAACTGCAAGAAAACAGGTGAATTCTCTGTTGCAGTCCCACCGAACTCAGTGTTTGCAACCAAGTGACCAGCTTCACTTTGAATTGCACTTTTTTTTAAATCTTGCCCTATTTTTGCGTCCACAGTTCACAAAACTGGATTCTTGGACCTGATTTCATGGCCCATGTCCACCCGCGTTACAAGAAACGTTTTGGACAACTATCCCACCTGACCCGGTGCGTTACTGTCCCGATGTCGTCCCTCCTGAGCAACAAGAGCACGAGCGTTCCACGTCAACCTGTGACTGACGGCAGAAACGCCCCGTCAGTCAGTGAGGCCGCTCTCTGCAAACATCTGTCCAAAACAAGAGCTGGACCGAACCGCAGCCACGCACATCCTTTCCCTCCAGATGTGCAGAGCGAGGAGGGAAACCGTCTTACAACCAGCTGTGCTGTTAGACTGACAGAAGGCAACAGTGTTCAACGCACGTCTGTTGCTCGATTTAAATAAGAGTTGAGCAACGTCTTCTTAAACTTGGAGCTGGGGTGATGAAAAAGGTACAAGACTCTCCGTCTGGCGGTGATGCTAATGTTGTATCAAGTTTCATTAAATTATCTTGAACAGATCAGAAGTTGTGATCCAGGCAAGAGAAGGTTTACCGACTGTACCAACATCCATCTTTCGACGGGCGCTTTATAAATTATCCAAAACGCTGCAGCCTGAGTTATTAATCATTTCATACACAATGAAAGAACTCTTCCATGTTCTGTGGCAGATCTTGACACAGCCACCATCAATCAGTTCCTGCAGCTCTTCAAACCCTCCAGAAAGGAACATTTCCCCTGAACTTCAAATCTACAGCGATCAGGACGTCTCTCTTTAGCTTTGAATACTCAGTTACGTGTCAGCAAAAAAAAAAAAAAAAGAAGCTGTCATGTGTACAAGCTGCTGTTGACGTATTCCACAGTTAAAAGATAAAACCGTTGGAGAAAACCCAACAATTTACAAAAATGAAAAAGATAAAACTACAGCAGCTCCGGAGAACAACAAGTCGTTTCAAACATCACAGTATTTTTTTGACACTTTCTTTCAGCTTCTTGCTACAAACGTTACTAATGATTATTATTTTCTGAAGGGCAATTTAGTTTACAGACTTCATAATGCATACCGTTTTGGTTGAATGCAGTTTTTATTTCCATTTTGTTTTTTTTGTATTTAGTTTTTATTCAAGTGCATTTTTTTTTTTTTTCTTTTTTGTTAACGGAGACAGAGAGTCCATTTTATTTTTTATTTTTGGTGGTATTGTTTATTTTCCTGCTCAAATGTTAAGCGTTCTTTTGAAATTAAAGTTTATTTATCTTTGAGAGGATGTACTTGCATTATTATGTCATTATCGTTACATCAGTTTAAACCAGTCTCCAAGCAATATTATCGTTTATCGCAATAATTTCTGAGAGCATTAATATTGTGACAGGCCTAGTTGTAGCCTCAGTTTGCAGCTTGTTCGGCAGAAACACGATAAAAAACTTAATTTTAAATGACTACAGTTTGTTTTACTCTAAGAACAACTTGTCAGACAGTTATTGAAACACCTTTTTATTGTTTTTGTTCGTTTCTCCATCATCTAACAGAGTCGGTGCAGATTCTCCATCCTTCAGGACATGGTAAACACTTAGAGCACGGGTGTCCAAACGTTTTCTTGTGTCCAGTTGAAAAGGACTTTAACTCTCAACGAGTTTAATAATTTTGGTGGAGAAAGAGTTTTAAATTGTTGTTAATGTAAAAGCAGCTGGACTTCCATTCTATAGTTGAAGACATTTTGTTTCTCATCCGGGGAGTTTTTTTCAGTTCCAAACCTCAGAGCGTGGAGTTCACGGCTCTAAACCACATCAATGCTTTGTTTATGCAGCTAAACTCACGCGCAGATTAATCTCCCTCCCCTCCCTCCTGAGGGTCATTATGGTATTCGTTTGTCTGGCTCAGAAGAGAGATGTTTTGGTCACATGCATGAAGGTGTGAACTCATGTGAAACTGAGTTTCAGGCCTAACACTCCACTGGGGCTGGGCGATATCTCGATATTTTAAAAATATCAAGATATATATCGTATATCACCATTTATCTTAAAGTATCAAGATATTCATTTTGGTCCATATCGCCCAGCTCTACGCTCCACTTTATTATTTCCAGCCCTCACACAGACACTGGACATTTGTCTCGTCACGGTGGGGCGAGCGATGCGTTTGAGTTTCAGCGAACACAATTCACAAACTGAAGTTTGGCTCCAGCAACAATCAACTCCTCACACGCCTCAAGATTAGAGGAAACAACTCATATTGTAACTAGCAGTAATAAACATTAAATAGGACTCATTAAAATCTATTTAGGCCATTTATGAGCAATGGAATGCGACTGTTAGACTTAAGCTTTTGTCTTAAACGTCCAGCTGATCTAAACAATCCACGGGACATTTCTGCCACTTCAGCTGCTCCACACGTCGGCTGTTGAGCTCGCTGCTCATCAAACAGCTTCCGCAGTCGATCACATCCCTGACCAGTGCCGTCGAGCAGTTCATGTGTGTACAAGATCACTCTTGTTTGCCTGATTAATGAATAGCTATACAAACAGAGAAGACATCCAGAGGCTCTGCTGTGCGCGCCTCACGTAACTAACATACGCTCGGCGCCGTAAACGCACGAGACGCTGTCGCCTACCAGTCATGCTGTTCACTGGTTAACGGTTTGCCCGGGCCTCCAGCGGCGTGCAGTCCGCGTCGTCTCCATCCTGGAAGAAATAAAAAGAGGATTGTTTGAGTGGCTCAGAGGCCAAGACGGAGAGCAGAGGAAGAAGAGAAAGGATACTACAGTACAAAGGCCAGAATCAGCTCCTAACTCCCCCCGGTCTCATTCTTTTAGACGTTCGTTCCCTTCGTCTGACGTTTTGTTTCCTTTAACTCAGATTTCCTTCTCACCACACGTCCACCTTTCTAGTTTCTATCATTCTTTCTTTTCTCTCTTTTGACGTTTTATTGGGGACTTCCTAGAAAGGCAGCGCCTATTATTATCCACCTGACGAGAGTTTCCTAACTTTACATCTTATCAACGTTAATGCGGCTCAAACAAAGTGCACCTCCACAGATGTTATATCAAAACGACCGGCACAGCACCGTGATGTGTGCCATTACTTTTATTGGCGTTTCGAGTTACCATGGTGATGTAATTTGCAAACAAAGACGCCATTTTTTTATTAGTTATTTTTCATAGACTCTGGTTGCAAATCAAATATCCAAGATGGCCACCTGAGCTAAAAAGGAAAAATACTTTAAATCAGCCATTTTTTTAAAAGAGAAATTAGGCTGAAATGCTGGTTACGGGAAAAAAAAAAAAACCTTGAAAGCAGAACTCAAATATTTGAAAAAAATTCTGCAAAAGTGAGAAAGAGGAAGGAAAGAATAATGCCTGAAAGTCAAAGTGCTTTAAGGAGATAAAGAAAGAAGGAGGCAGTTAAAGTCTTTACCCTCGCCTCAGACAGGAAATGCTACGAGGACAGCACCTTTCTGTTGTTGTCTTTTTATATTTTCCAAAAATTAAACCAACTAGACTGAACAAATACATAAAACAAACAATCGTTGTATTTTAATCCATAAATCTTTTTTTTTCCTGGTTGAGCCTTAAATCAGCCGAGAGAAGTCCATCGGCTGAGGAGGATCAACCCCCGCGCCAAGGTGAGCTTTCACGATCAATTCTCCTAAAGCGCACCGTAATTCATACAACCACCTACTCCCATTGCACTCCTGGAGACGCTCTTGTTTGAGGGAAAACACTCAGAGTCTGTGTTGTGAGTGACTCTCAGCCACAACCACACCAAGGTTTAGCTCACCAGCTGTTTGAATGACATTGCCATTTATGTGCTGTACAAAGTCAGCTAGCTGTGGAGGCCATCTTGAACTATGTTGACTTCTAAACTTAATCAGTTGTAGAGCTATGATGTATCATTGCTTTCAGGAAAAAAAAAAATATTAAATTTGTCCCAGCGTTTCATGTGATATTTTTGCTAACAGACAAACGGGGTCGACTCCAACAGTTAAAGCTAAAGGTTTAAGCAGATACTTTGCAAATTGTGAAGCGTTTGTTTTATGTGTTGTGAAAGATTCTCAGCTACAACACGATCAAATGTCGTCAAAATGTCTGTAAAATTGACTGGATCTAAGCCTGTGCTTTATAAGGTCAGCTGGTCGTAGAGGCCATCTTGAATGGAATTACAGTAGTCCCTCGATACTTCGCGGTTTGACTTTAGCCAGTTTTCAACGCAAGACTGTACACGACACACAATGTGCTCATTGATGGAAAGGGATCAACCAGAGCATTGTGCTGAGGGGCAGACTGGCCATCGGGAGCACCGGGACATTTCCCGGTGGCCTGGCCCGCTCAGTGATCGCCGAGAAGCTATCTTGGGGCGTGGAATGGGGTCTGTCTTTCCCCATCGCTACTGCTCAGGGAGCATCAGTGGGGCAGATACCTGAGTGAGTGGCATAGATTGTTTATTTAAAATCATCAAACGCAAGTCAAACCGAGCCTTTGGTCCAGCCCCTCGGTGATCACTGAGCGGGCCAGGCCACCGGGAAATGTCCCGGTGCGCCCGATGGCCAGTCCGCCCCCGGGATTGGCTCATTGGCATCAGTCTCTTTGTCTGCTCCCTTCCGCTGTGCTCTTTTGGAGCGTTTAGAGAGTTTAGAACATTGTTAAGAACATTGCAAGAGTGTGGGAAGGGATTATAAAGCCTTAAATATATATAATTATTAAAATAAATACAATGAACCTGCTCCGTGGATTTTCATGTATCGCGGGGGTGTCTGGAACGTAACCCCTGTGATAAGTGAGGGACTACTTTAACTCCAAAAGTTAATCACTTGCAGATGAAAATCCAATTTATGACAGTTTCATTAAAATCTAGTGGTTTATGAGGTATTTTGCTAACAGACAGGTTTGACTCTAATAATTAATGACACTGTTTTAAACACAAATCTTGTGCAATCAATTAGCACTCAAGAGTACAAGTTGCTGATGATTCTTAGCTAGCAGACCAGAATTTGGCTCAATGTCTGTAAAATCAAGTGAGAAAAAGCAATTTTTTTCTGTTTGCTTTGATTAGCAGTGGCGGCCATCTTGAATTGGTCCAAAAATTAAATCGGGTGCAGACGTCAGCCCAATGATTTCTTCCTCAAAGTTTCATTCAAATCTGATCAGTGATTCATGAGATGTTTTGCTAACAGACAGAATTAGCTTGGTGAACCACTGCACCACTGTGCAGACAGTGAGCCAGGTCTGAGCTGAACTCCCACAGCTCAATGTGATCGACAAGCTAAGGGAGAAAAGCTGCAAGCTCCGATCGGCGCTGCTCGAAGTCAAGAGTCGGGTGTCTTTTTCAAGAGGACGGGTTTCAAAGCGAAGCCTCGTCATTTCGCCGAGCGTCGCGATCGCTGCTGCCAGCGCAGCCTTTTCACCAGCCCACTGGTCTGAATGGCTTCTTTTGTCCCGCTGAGATTCCTCTGGCAAGTCTCTAATTAGCAGGAGAGCTCTTCCTCTGTGTGGGAACGAGGAAAGAAAAGGAAACGGCGGAGGAAGGCGGCTCGGTGTTAAAGAGAAATTTGTAAACAATACAGAAGCTGTCAATGCGACGCTTCCCCGCAGGAGAAGAAACCAATAAATTCATCATCTGAAAACCGGAGGAGAGAAAGACTCAGCGAGACGGTTGGAATCTGGCGGGTGGTTAACCAGAACTGGGTTGTCAAAAGCTCCCAGTGAATACCTCAGACGAGATTCACAACCAACAAACTTTCACTACAGTTCTGCCCGCCAGGAAAACTGTGTCTTTTTACACATATTTCACTGTTTATTTTATTTTATATGTTTATCTCAAACCTTTCATCATCCATCGGTGTATGGATGAGCTAAAGCTCTGACGATTATTTGTATTGATACAGCAGAGTGATGAATGAACGAATACACGAGGGCACAGATTGTGTTGTAAAGCGCTTTACAAGTACAGTCCATTTAACTTTATAAAATACAAGTTAAAATATGAATGTTTATAAATAATTCAATCAGTGCATCACATAAACTACGTCTGGCAAAATTATCACTGAATATGGTTAAATATGGGCGGCACGGTGGCTCAGTTCGTAGAGCTGCTGCCTCTCAGCGAGAAGGTCATCGGGTCGAATCCCGGCTGGGAGGACTTTCTGGGTGGAGTTTGCATGTTCTCTCCGTGCATGCGTGGTTTCCTCCCACAGGTCGTAAACATGCATGTTATAGCTCTAAATTATCCCTAGGTGAGAATGAGAGAGTGAATGATTGTCTCGTTTGTCTCTATGTGTCCCTGTGATGGACTTGGACTTGTCCAGGGTGAACCCCGCCTGTCGCACAATGACTGCTGGATATGGGCACCAGTGACGCCCGTGACCCGCAAAGGAAGAAGCAGGTAAAGATAATGAATGGATGGTTAAACATGTCAGGCACTAGGACCATGCAGTCACCTTTATCACGCTGCATTATCCACCTTTTCAATATCTGCAATGCATTCAGTGTTGCCAAGTCCGCTTATTATAAGCGACTTTGGGCTTGTTTTTGAACGTGAAGTTGTTTATTTGGGCTCGACTTTCTTTCCGAGTGAAACCAGTTGATTATCTCCCGGCTCCGCACAATAAAGCAAAAGACGAGTGGCAGTAGGTAGTTTGTCCCTTACACGCCCCCGTTTGTTTATCGCTCCCGCCCAAGTTGGCGAGGCGACCAGAGATGCAACCAACACTCATACTGTGGCCGACCACTAGGGGGCTCCACTCACACGCAGCTGTCAGGATGTTTTGTTTTTAAAAATATGTAGAAAAAATATGACGCTTACCGTTATTCTGTTGTTCAGTTACTCTGTGATCTCAGTTGAGTTGAGATTTTATTGAGCTGGCTCATGTGTCTTTGCTTTTAAACAGAGTTTAAAGAAAGTTTTTTGTTGACTGTGTTTACTATGAGTTTGCTTTACATATGCAAAATGTATTTTTTTTTAATCGGTATGTTATTCAAACTGTTTAACATAATTTTGCTGTTGTTTATGTTTAATGTCATAATAAATGTGTGTTACTGTTTAAAAACGGCCTCTGTTTAACACAATGTGATGGGTTGCCAGTTGGGCTTTTTGTCGAGCTTGTTGTCAGAGCTGGTTACTTGTTTCTATCGCGAGATCTGGCAACACTGAACGCATTGTGGTCTACACAAGAGCCCCAACACAACAGGGTGGTCAGCATGCACAAGGCTTGTTTACTTTTGCAGAAAACGCGACGTTTCTTGTTTTCACCTGAGAAATCCGAACAAACGTGCACGTGTGCAGCTATTTACCAACGCGCTCACGCTTCAGCCTCGTCCAGGTGGTGCAGACGCATCGACAGCAAAGTTACAGCAGAGAAAGTAACTTCCTGCTAACAAAGCAACCGCACGCGCCACAAGTCAACACGTGACGTGAGGTCAGGCAGCGGGGTTGAGCAGCGATCTCGCTGCAAAGCTTTTATTTGGACCCAAACGCTCTGCGCCATAAAGTAGCTTCCTAGCTGAGTGATTTAATTATCCAACAGCTCTAAAGTTTCAGAACCAGCCTGAAACCAAGCCAGAAACAGCAACCGGAGACTCCGCGATAAAAGACTAAGTCTAGTGTTCACTGTGACGGATTGCTGGATGTTTATCTCACCACGCCTCGCTTCCAAGTCTCAACATCACCACATGCTTACACTTTCAAAGTAA